GTAAATGGTAAAAATAACAAAACATTAACGAAATAACGAAATAACGAATCAAAACCGACAGGCCTAGTGTTTAGCTATATTTGTGGTTTCCGGTAACCATGATTTAGCTGGGAATGTATCCTCGGCTGATATGGGTATCCTGCTGCAATCTAACAGACTAGTAATCCAATAGTTTAATCATTACAAGAACAGCCCTGATGGATCAGACCAAATGCCTGTCTGGTGTAGCATTCTGGACTTCAGTGACCAACGGTAATGGAAAGTCCACAAGAAGGACAGAAGGGCATTAGTCCTGTACTGCTGATGTTTCCCGGCATCTGTTTCCTAGCAGAACACACATTGCCTCTTAGCAATTTCAAAAGGAGTTTTTTTTTTTTAAAAAAAATGCTTCCTTAAAAATAGAAACAAAATTCAATTGCAATATTCCTCAGGACTTTTACTGGCACTCCATGGTTAAATCATGAAGATTTTTCCTCTAATGAGTGCTTTGCCAGCTGTTGCAGGGAAGAATAATGAGTGCTGCCATAGTGGTGAACCCTTCCCCTCATGTTATTGTTGTCCACATAAAATTTGCTGGACATATAGAGTCAATTCTATGGTATTCACAAGCCAGGAAGTCAAATGAAATATGGAAACACTCCCAAGGTTGTGAGACATCTAACACTTATTGATCACAGTGTCATTATGCTGTAAATATAATATTTGGCCTATTTCTGAGTATATTAGATGTACTGATTCCAAAAATGCCACCTTTCTTACTTCCTTTGTTATGTTTTCTACTGACATGCATAGCAGATAGTTGAAAACAGCATCGCTGTACAAAACAAATGTCAGCAATAGCATGAACCCTGAAATAAAGCTGCATATGTGGAATATTGTTGTATTTTCTGTGTTTTATGGACTGTATAGGCACATCTTGAAATAATTAATATGGCCATTCAGATTTTATTGGACTGTAACTTCCACAGTCCTTAACTTTTGGCTATGTCAAGGTTGATGGAAGCCTCCTTTCCCTCGTCTAAATTGTATTAATGTGAAATGTATGTATCTTCTCCCTGAGTCAAAGCAAGATAAACTATTTAGAAGGTATAATACAACATAGCACTTGATGGATTTGATCCACCAATATCTCATATTTATCTAAAGTTGTAAAACATGCATTGCCATCTATTCTTCTCCTAATTTATTTTAGAAAGCTTCTTCCTTGTAATTCGCTCCTTTATTGAGGCAACCGATCCATTCTAAGCCTAATGATGTATAACATCTAGACATCCATGTTTGTAATAACTATGAAAATAATTCCCCATATAATCGAAACAATTCTAAAACTGATAAAAATCACTCCGTGTTCTCTATTTGGGCAATTAAGGGCTGTACAAATATGCAGTTTTTTTCCTGTTCTGCTAACTGGCTGGAAAAACTTCCAAACTTCCCAGACTTTTTTTCCCCAGTCTTGTAAGATTACATTGGGATCAGGTCCCAATACTGCTTAACTCAATGCTTGGGCTGTTTGCATTTAATGCACTGGGGGTGTCTTGCTATTTTTCCGAGATTTCAGAAACATATTCGAATCTAGGTGGTTTCAAACTAGTTATAACTGAAAGTCAATAGTAGTAACATATCAATGTTTCAGAAAAAGTAAGATGGTGCAGAGTCTGGAAAACTAGTAATAAAGTACAGACAGTCCCCAAGTTTATTACTAGTTCTCCAGAGACACTCCAAGTGGCCAGCTTCTGGTCAAAGGAAATCAAGTATAATGCCAAGTTTGTGTTCTTTAAAATACATTATAACTGTACCCTCAATTCGCTTCTGACATGATAATTAAAAAAATAGTCCCTGAAGTACAAACATCTGAGTTACAAATGACTCATAGTTAAGAACGGGACTGAGACAACAGGAAGAGAGAGAAATCTCCCCCTAGGAAGGGAAATCTACTCCTGAAATAGTTATCACGAGGAAAAGGTGCCTCCACTGAGGCTTTCTCAGCAATCCTCGTTTCCACAACAAGCCACATTTTACAAAATCCAGTTATCACAGGGACAGAAATCGAGGTGAAATATTCAGAATAGGGACACAAACAGCAAATGATGCGCCATATGGGTGTTAACTCTTACCTGTGCAATCCAAAGATAACTATATCTATATATCTATATCTAGCTGGAGCAACACTTTAAAAATGTACCTGTTCTGACTTACATACAAATTCAACTTAAGAACAACCTACAGAGCCTATCTTGTTTGTAACTTAGGGACTGCCTGTACTCTTAATAGTCCGTTCCAATTGAATAGGCCAGTATATTCAACATTTTTTCAGCCTCAAAATAGTTTTCAGTAGCAGCTTGACAATTTTAGGATTCTAGTTCTAAAAAGCAGTTCAGCAAACATTCACTTGAATCTAGAAATGCATCGCTGTCATAAAATTAATCCTTGCATATATAAAGTATCCAGAACCCTGGTCTGTTGCACAGACATTATAGTTTTTCAGAAAAAACAAACAGTGGGCGTTTAAACACATTTTTTTTTGTATTGTCGAAGGCTTTCATGGCTGGAATCACTGGGTTCTTGTGGGTTTTTTCGGGCTATAGAGCCATGTTCTAGAGCAGTGCTTCTCAACCTTGGGTCCCCAGATGTTTTTGGCCTACAATTCCCAGAAATCCTAACAGCTGGTAAACTGGCTGGGATTTCTGGGAGTTGTAGGCCAAAAACATCTGGGGACCCAAGGTTGAGAAGCACTGTTCTAGAGGCTCTATAGCCCGAAAAAACCCAAGCATGTGGACAATTTCAACAGAAAGGAAGAGACCATGAAAATGAACAAAATCTGGCTACCGGTATTAAAAAACTCTAAAATTACAACAGCAAAACTACAGAGAGGAAACAACCAGGCACAGATTAACACCTCCCAGCAAGAGATTTTCCCAGGCTCAGGCAGGCCTTCTAATGCTAATGAAGGTGATCAGCTGAAACATTCGCACCTAACTGCAGCAGGGAAGGGCTCCTTGCCCCACCCCGGCCATTCCACAGATATATAGACCCATTGTCCTAATTCCAACGGACCTCACTGCCTCTGAGGATGCTTGCCATAGATGCAGGCGAAACGTCAGGAGAAATGCCTCTAGAACATGGCTCTATAGCCCGAAAAAACCCACAAGAACCTACATTTTTTTAATAAAAAAATCAATACTGGAGGAATGTACACATTTATTTTTTTAAAAAGACACCCGCACAAACCTCTGTCCAAACCTACATAAGAGAAATCTTGACAAAACCCCAGAAACTATTCTTGGAACCTAATCCAATACATTGTCCAGAAGTTTTTTTCCCCCCATGTCAGGAGTGACCAGTGGGAATCTTCCCGTCAACAAGGCGCAGAATCATAGCTATAAAGATGGGAAATAAGTTACATCCTTGTTTGATACCTGATCCCCCTTTAAATGGGTCACTTAGGGAGCCATTGCTGTCCAATGGCTCTCAGGATATTCACAGATTTATCAGGGCATCCAGTTTTTGGAAGATGGTGCAAAGAGCACCGTGATTCATTGTACTGAAGGCCTTTGCAAGGTCAATGAATGCCATGTACAGAGGTTGTTTTTGTTCCCAAAAATTTTCTAGAAATTGTTGCACAGTGAAAATTATATTCAGAGAGGATGTCTTTTGAAATAGGTATAATGTGAGCCCTTGGTATCTGCAGGAGTTTGGTTCCAAGACCTCATGTACTGTGCCCTGTAGATATTAAAATACATGGATTTGTATAAATCAAAATGGTGAAATCAAAGTTTGCCTTTTGGATTACATATATATGTATGTATTTAACCCATGCATTCAGAATCCATGGATACAGAGCACTAACTCTACACAATGCAGATCTGAGAAGGCAGATAGCAATCTGGAATATACTTTACGTCTGCATAAAACAGTAAATATGGCAATTCTTTTGTGGTGCTAGAGGAGGGAAATAAGACACAATCAATTTTCTAATAAAGTTACCCAACAGGTTCAAGAGTAGAGTAGAATATGCCGTAATTTGGCTGGTATAAAATAATAATTTCTTTCTATGCATTGTTTTCAGATTGCAATCCAATGACCACTTTCTTGAAAAGGAGATTTCTTAAAATCAGTGGGATTTAACTTCTGGACCAGAGCCCCCGATGATGCAATGGGTTAAATCCTTGTGCTGGCAGGACTGAAGACCTACAGGTCATAGGTTAGAATCCGGGGAGAGCACGGATGAGCTCCCTCTGTCAGGTCCAACTCCCTATGCGGGGATATGAGAGAAGCCTCCCATAAGGATGGTAAAACATCAAAAGCATCTGGGCGTCCCCTGGGCAATGTCCTTGCAGATGGCCAATTCTCTCACACCAGAAGCGACTTGCAGTTTCTCAAGTTGCTCCTGAGACCAAAAACAAGCATTGAATGCCCTTGTAGCTTCAAAGCCTGGCTGATTGCTGCCTGGGGAGATCCTTTGTTAGGAGGTGTTAGCTGGCCCTCATTGTTTCTTGTCTGGGATTCCTCTTTTTTGTGTTTTTTTTTAGTATTGCTCTTTATTTATTGTCCTGTTTTAGAAGTTTTCTTTGAAAATAGATTTTGTTCATTTTCATAGTTTCTTCCTTTCTATTAAAATTGTCCACAGGCCTGTGGATATCAATTCCTACCGGCTGTTAGGAATTGTGGGAGTTGAAGTCCAAAACACCTGGAGGGCCGAAGTTTGCTCATGCCTGCTGTAGCAGGTGAAGGAACAAAAGGGGCAGCCGGGAGCGCACAGGCCAGGAGTGCGCATGCTCACATTCCACAATGTGTTTTTCCCTCCCTGTCGTGACCCCTCCCACTCCTCCTCCCCCCCTCCTCTACCACCCCTCCCCCCCTTTCCCCCCACCGCCGCGCGCGAGGCCCCTTCCTCTTTCCGCAGTATTATGAGCTCAGCGCGCGGCATGGCGTGCCCTATGACGTAACCCGCCGGGCTCCTCCAATCAGAGCACGAGGAGGGGGGGGAGAGAGAGGCAGTTGGTGCCTTCTGCTGGGGAAGCGCGCGGAGGAAAGAGAGTCAGGGAAGAGACCCGGATGTGCCCCCTTGCTGTTGTTGCGTGAGGCGCAGAAGGAGCGGGTCGTGGCCGGCGCCTGAGGCCGCCCCGCCAGGCCGCAAGATGGAGGAGGCGGGGTTTGGGGCCGTGGCGCCGCCGGTAGTCGTGGCGCCGGCGCCGCCGTCTCCTCCTTCGTTGCCGGGCGCGGCGGCGGCGTGAGGCGTGAGGCGGAGGCGAGGGCCGCAGGCAGGGAGGCCTCTCGGAGAGGGAGGTGGGGCCTCGGCGGGGCCATGCTGTCGGTGTATGGGATCCTGTTCTCGGCCCTGCTGGGCTCCATCCTCACGCTCCTGGCCCAGGTGCTGCTCTTCTACCGGAGGCCCCCGGAAGCCCCCGAGGGCTCCATCTCGAGCCCGGGCCCCAGCGCCTTCTCGCCCCGCGTGGTGCCGGACACCAGCCTCAGGGAGTACCTAGCCGGCTTCATCAGCTTCTCCGCGGAGCCCAAGCCGGCCTCGCAACAGCCCTCGCTCCAAGAGTCGCTCTCCTCGGTGGAGTGCACCGAGGAGACCCTCTACTGGCTCAATGCCATCAACCTCTTCCTCTTCAGGGAGCTCAAGGACACGTCCCTGCTCCGACACTGGGTCACCAGGAAGATCAAGGTGGAGTTCGAGGAGCTGCTCCAGACCAAGGTGACGGGCAAAGTCCTGGAGGGGCTGAGCCTGCGTGACGTCTCCTTAGGCAACGTGGTGCCCCTCCTCAAGAACATCAAGATCCTCCGGCCAGTGACCTGCAGCGAGGACGGCTGCCCCGAGGAGCTGGACTTCGAGCTGGACCTCGAGTACCAGGGGGGCTTCCACCTGGCCATCGACGCCGACCTGGTCTTCGGCAAGTCGGCCTACCTCTTTGCCAAGATCTCCAGGGTGGTGGGTCGCCTGAGGCTGGTCTTCACCCGCTTGCCCTTCACGCACTGGTCCTTCTGTTTCGTGGACGAACCCGTGATCGACCTGGAGGTCAAGTCGCAATTTGAAGGGAGGCCCTTGCCACAACTCACTTCCATCATAGTCAGTCAGTTCAAGAAAGTGATTAAGCGCAAGCATACTTTACCTCACTATAAAATCAGGTAAGATCTCGAGAGAGAGGATATTTATTTATTTATTTTTATTTACTTCCTTTCTACCCCACCTTTCTCGACCTGGGAAGGGACTCAAGGTGGCTTACAAATCCAGCAAAAATTCAATGCCACACAGGTAAACAACAACAATAATAATAATAATAATAAACTTTATGTATACCCTGCTACCAACTCCCCAAGGGACTCAGTGCAGCTTACATGAGGCTAAGCCCACAATACATCAATAAACAAAAGCAATAACAACTACAATACAATTAATATAAAAATCACATAAACACAAAATAAACAATCAACAGTGACACACGAGCATTTAAAAACCAATGGCCGGGCCAAATGTAATAGATTAAAATTTAAATTAAACACATCTCATAAAAATATAAACAATCTAAGCATATAAGCAATTAAAACACAGAACAATCTACATTTGGTGGGCAAGGAAGCAGAAGGAAAACAAGGAAGTATGGGGGGGGGGGGGTTCAGAGGTGCACAGACCACATTTTCTGAAGTTGTCAGTGATTGTGGCTTGCATCCACATTCACAAAACTATGACTCTACAGCAGTGGTTCCCAAAGTTTTTTTGACCAGGGACTACCCTGACCAGGGACCACTCTCCATACCAAAAGGGTTATGAATCAGTTTTTGGTCAACTTCAGAAAATTGCATTGGATAGACCACATCAGCTCTAGTTGCTAATACAGAACATATGCCGTCCAGTAGTCGCCATCTTCTCGCCCACAGAAAGCCATATTTAATAAGCCTCAGTATTATAAGAAGGTTTTGCAAGACCAGTCACTCTCATTGCAATGGTGTAGTGATGGTGAGGCCGCAGTCCAAATTTTATTTATTGCAAGCCATTGATGGTCCACAGACCACAGGTTGGGAACCACTATTATACAATGTATTTTAGAAGCCAGCCATCTAGTATGAAGTGGAAGTATTCGGGGGTGTTTCAAAAGTGCATAGACCACATTTTCTGAAGGTAATAATAATAATAATAATAATAATAATAATAATAATAATAATAATAAACCTTTATTTATACCTCGCTACCATCTCCTGAAGGACTCAGTGTGGCTTACAAGAGGCCAAGCCCAATACATCAATAAAACACAACAACAACAGTACAATAATTAAAAAAAACTCATACACAGGGTGTCAGTGTGCATGGCTTGTATCCACATTCACAAAACTATACAGCATATCTTAGTAGTCAGCCATCTAGTTACATCACTGAGAAAGTATGAGGGGGTGTTTCAAAGATGCACAGACCACACTTTCTGAAGGTGTCTGTGAGCGTGGCTTGCATACATATTCACGAAGCTATAATTCTATGACGTATTTTAGTAGCCAGCCATCTAGTTGCATCACTGAGCCATACACCTCATATTAGACCAGGGATGAAAACTATGTGGCACTATCCAACACAGCCAACAGTAAAGAATGCTGGGATTGGGAGTCCCAACAATGTTTGGGAACTCCATGATTGCCATGTCTGGACTGGCTGAGTATTCCTTATCTGAAATTCTTGAGCCCAGAAGTGTTTTGAATTTTAAATTATTTTGGATTTTTGTTTATATGTACAGGTCTAAACACAAAATTCATTTATATTTTGTATACACATAGCCTGATGGTAGTTTTATTAACTTTTTAATACATTATTTTTAGCTTGAAATAAAGTTTTAGAATATTGAACCATCAGAAAACAAAGTTGTCCCAATATCAGCCACTCATGTGGATAGTATAGGATTTTGTAATTTAGGATGAGGGGTTCTAAAATTGTACTAGACGTTTGAAGAGAGTTCCAACTAGTAGGTCACTGCTTATCTTGCAGCATCTGATTTCTTGATCTCTTTTGCTAAACATAGGCCAAACATGTATCTTGTTTATCAGGAAGGCAAATTTCAGTACATTGTTAAAAATGAAATTTGAGATTTTATTCTAACAGGTGAAGAATGTTTAGGACAGAATTTATTACTAATTGCAGATAATTCTAATGAGAAAGTGAAAATAGAGCATCTAAAGTATCGGTATGATTATAGAAAATGTCTATTAGCAAAATTATACAAGCATCTATAATAAATGAAAGGGAAAGTCGGATAAGTCAAAAGTCATAGAGCAGATCTAACAGGTATAAGAATGACAGATAGCCGTTTCCTGTACATTTTAAAGAAGATGAAAGAAACACTAGGTCTGTTGCTTGGTAGGTGTGATGAAATGAGAAAAGGCTCTTATTTTGCCATTCTCTTCCCCCCCCCCCCCCCAATGGAAGATTTTGCAAGCTTGCACAAGTATTGCTGTACTTTTGTAATCACTATGAACAATCAGGGAGCATGAGCGAGATGTGAATCGTCCCACTCTTGAAAAGGCTGAAAAGGAGGTCGGGGAACTACAGACAACCTGTTGGACTTTGATACAAGAACAGATCATAAAGAGGTCATTTTACAAGCACTTTGATAACAGTGCAGTGATAAGTACAAGACAGCATGGATTTGTTCAACTCTTTCAGTAATAAACTCACTTTTGAAAGACTTTTGGAGAAAAGATAGCAAGGACTTGCTCTCTGCTGTCTAAGAAGGCAAGACTAGAATTCATGTTCTTAAGTTATAAAAAAGCTACATATCAATCATTGTTAGAAGAAACTTTTAAATAAGAACAGAGTTGTGTTGGAATCATTTACCACAGGCAAACTTCCATTATTAGAGGTCTTTAACCAAAGGTTGGAGAGCCATGTATTGAAGGATGCTCTAATTTTACTTTGCTGATCATGCAAGGGTTAAATTAGAGTCTAACAATTTTATGTTATAATTCTTTAAAAGGAAAGGAAGAGAAAACTTTGTTTTTACCTTTCTCTATAGTCTTGTCTAGAAAAAGGTGCACTTTACTGTGAAAGCCTAATAGAAAAACTCATAATCCCTTTTACTTTGTGAGCTGCTAGGTGCTTTGGGGAAATTATGAATGCTTTCTCTGCATCTGTCTTGATATTCTGTATTCTTTGCTTATGACAGGAATGCAGAATCTCCAAATGTTGAATTCTAGTCTCTAGTCCTGGCTAGCGTAGCAAGTGGACTGAGATTGTAGGCAAACAACTTCTGGAGAGCCACAGGTTCTGCATACTTAGCCTATAGATACTCAGAGGAAAGTGTCAGTGTGCCAAGACTGTTGGGCAAGGATGCTTGAATTGATTTTGAATGAAGTGAATTTTTGAAACTACAGTAATAAGAGCACAATATTTTTGTAAATCTCAGAAGTTTTCTTGAATTTTCTACTCATCTGGTGCAAGCCACTTCTATGCGTACATTTTTTTTTATTTTCTTCTTCAATTTATGGTGACCTGGGTTGCTGTGAGTTTTCCGGGCTGTATGGCCATGTGCCAGAATCATTCTCTTCTGATGTTTCGCCCACATCTGTGGCAGGCATCCTCAGAGGTAGTGAGGACTCTCGTATATCTGTGTGGTTTATATATCTGTGGAAGAAAGAACTCTTGTCTGCTTAAATGAATTTTCACTTTAAATTCTTCATTCTCACTTTTCTTTCTTTGGGGATTTCATAGACAATACCAATAACCCACTAATGGTGTTACCTTTTGTTGATGGGATTGCATGTGCCTTTGAGTCAAGAAGCCATGTTGTTGACACTAATGCTGCTGGTAGACTCTCCAGGGTCAGACAAGCATTTGCTGAGGAGCCAGATTAAATTTACCAATTGGCTTCTGGGCAGTAGCATTTTTTTTTGGGGGGGGGGGGGTTACACTAGCTGAGACAATGACAGTGGCACTGTAGTTAATTCTTATCAATACCATACAGAAGGAGGCATGGAAAACGACCTATGAATGTCATTTACCATGAAAACACTTACAATGAGAAAATTCAAAATGAAGCAAGAGAGCACCAGAATACAAAACTCGCACTGAACAAATTACTTCTTTTGTCTCCCAATGAAGAGAAAAAGCAGGATATAAATAAATATAATAATAATATTAGTAGATAGCAGAGGACAATTATTAGTAGCGCTGTGGTTTAGGATGCATCTGGCAGGAGGGATATTCAGCTATTGATGTGCTCAGAAGTGAAAGGAAAGTCCAAAGTGATCCAATGCATAGGAAAGGATGAATCAAAGGAACCTAGACATTATAAACTAAGTGTAGTGCATAAATATTGTAGTGCTTGAGATGAGCAAGCTAAAGTGGAGGAAAATGCGACATTTTGAGTCAGATAATTACACAGTGGTTTTTACTCAGGAGATGAAAAACTAAGAAGAAATGGTGTGGCAGTAATAGTGTGGAGAAATATAATGCAAGGATGTAATGCAAAGCCTGACCAAGTCATATCAATAAGATTTCAGGGAACACCCATTAATAAACCATAATCCTAATTTATTCTCCAGCTACAGAGACAAAGGGATAATAAATTGAACAAACAGAACATGCTGATAAATTATTGGAATGCAACGGTAGGAAACAGAACAGAATTAAAAATGGCAGGACATTTTTTAGCTAGGATCTTTAAATGAATCCGAGATCTCTTTTATAGGGTCACTGTAAGGTTGACTTGACAACAATTATCCAAAACAACCAAGAACTTTTCATTTTTAAAGATTTCATGTTTTTAAGGTTATGCTCCATTCCTCTACTAAATATGTGGAATAACTGCAATTGCAAGGGGACAGTATGATCTGGTTTCTCAGCTCCTTTCCACTGTGCTTTGCATTTGTACTCCTAGTTTCTTTATTGAATGACAACTGCCCTTTCGGTGACATTAAGGAACTTTTGATCCTTTTCTTACTGTTTTTCTGCTTGTCTCTTAAACACAAAATTTGTACTGAGATTCTGTTTGAAGGCCTAGTTGTTTAGTCTGTTGCCACAGAAACAGCTGTAAAGAATCTTATGACATCTTAACATCTAACCAGTTTTATTTGGCATAAGCTTTCATGGTGTGTGGATTTGAATCCGCAAAAGCTTATGCGAAACAACAGTTGTTAGTCTTAACGTG